CCACAGCTTTCTCTTGAAAAGTGATATACCGTCCTGATCTTGAGGTAGAATTACTTCCAGAAAGCACACTTGTTACACTGTGAAGTAAAAGCTGAGCATCTGCAAGATTGCAAGGCATTTCAAAAGGCAACAGAGATGCCAATAGATTCGCAGCAGGTCCATGGAAACAGTGGAAAGGACATCAGCCTCTATGTCCTCATTTAGTTGCTTGACTTCTCCATTACACACAGAAGTAAAGGGTTGCAGCTTAGGAGCAGGTTTGCTTTCCCTTTCTTGCCGTGGGAAGAACAAATGGAAGACTGAGTAGCAATATGTTTTTTCTAAACAGAAGAATAATGCAGGTACTACAGCACTTTTTGTGTGTTTAGTCAAGATCAGAAGCTATGGACTGTGTTATCTTTCGTATTAGTTTTGTTTGTGGATGACAATGCCTACTTTATATATTCAGAGGCATGGAAGATTCCTATCTCTAGCATGTTGAAAATTGTTAGTTATTCATGACACAGTTACAGGTTTTGTGCAACAAGGAAACTCCTTGGCTTGCAAAAACTTAGTGCGTTCCCAAACAGAACTTTCTTTGTGTACAACAGTTGATGTTCCAAATGTTGCACGATGCTAATTCGAGGCCAAAGGCTTCTGTTTCATAACAAACACTGAGTGCCGCTACTTACAGCTGAGGGCAAACTGGCTCACTGAAAACTGCTACTAGTCTCATATTACCCTTCAGAACTGTATTTTCAGCTGGAACACTGGAAATCAGCAGTTTGATGGACTGAGAAAGAATATGTGCAAGAGGTAACTCAACAACTTTCTTGATTCCTCACTAAGTTTTATGTTTTTTACAGTCAGGTCAACTGGTGTTCATCAGATACAAAAGGGTATTTAAGAGCTGATCACAAGAAAACACAGACCTCTGAATATTCAATCAATGATTTCAGAATTTAAAGGCTTCTAAGAGAGCCTTTGCCATGCAGTGTCTCTATCTTGTGCATAAATCCACATTGCATACAGGCACATCATTATCTAGCACTCTGGGATGAGGCATGGCAGGTGTCTTCTCATTTGCTGCTGCATCCCTCTGGTTAAGGCAGAGTGAAGAGACATCCATTTGCAACAGCTGGCAAATATGAGTATCATTGGCAACAAGCATTTCATTAATTAGATTTAACCATAATAAGGGGATAAACCCTTATAAGACAAGATGTGTATTGATGAGTAAATAGTAAGCTTTCCATCTTAACCAAAAAGTAATTCAAAATCTTGCTGCTGCAGACCTTCCTCAAATGCCAAAGCAATGCCTGAAGATGGATAGTGACAGCACTTGTCCACACACTGGTGGCTTCCACTGCCCCTTATTTCATGTTTTGCCCTGTTTTTCTTAGCTGCTTTCCAGAAACTGTTTCACCTCACTGCACATGCACATTCCTCAGCACCCCATGACCACTCTGACATTTTGCCTCAGGTTTCCTCCTCCCTTAAGCCGTGTTGGAGCTTTGGCACTCGGAGAACTGTCCCTTCAGATTCTGTCAGACCAAAAGGATGTGCATTGCACTGTTACCTCCTAGATTTAGTTCTATCAGAAATTTGCTCTTTTTTTCTTTTCTATGTTCCTTTCTAACCAAGCGATTGTTATTCAAGACTGTTATTCTTCTTGTGATGAATGTTTAGTAAATTCATAAAGCTGTTTTGCTTTTTCCTTTTCAGAACACCGTAAAATCAAAAGACTTTTCTGTCAATGTGATTTTATGGCACAGAAGAATACAGAGGTGTAATTAGGCACTGTTTTTTTTTTTTTTCATTTTGAAGATTAGCGCACATGCAGGTCACAATGCCAACAACTGGTAATAATTTGGGTTCATTTCAATCATCTGCTTCAAAATTTACATGCACTAAACTCCTGCTTCTGCAAAACAAATTCTGTTTTTTACCACACTCACTGACATTCACCTCAGTGCAATAATAAGGCTTCATTTAGAAATTTCTCAGAAAACTGTCCCTCGTTTACTTACAGTTGAGACTTTAAATAAGAGAAGTGTCAAATACTGTATTTATAAAATGCAGAATGATTTTCTCTTTACCTGTACATCCCTAAGTTGTACATTACTGAGGAAATTTAGATGAACATTCCTCCTTGTGAGAAGTGCCCTGCTTAAAAGTTGACAGTGAATGCAGCTGGCTTTCTCACGGTATCTTTCACTGGAAAACTTTCACACAGATGGTGTGGCATCTTGATGGACTATTTAAGTGACTCACATAGTGTGACCCTGAAACCATGATCATGTTGATACTATCCTGCAACTACATGAAGTACCATTTGAAACTTTTCCTTGGGGTTGTCTTTCTGCAAGTCTAGAGGGAAATAATTTCCAATTTGTCCATCACGTCCTCCAGTAAGGACTCAGTTAGGTCAGCATCCAGTCGTAGACATTAAGGAAGGGAAGAGCATGTTTCTGTCAGAGGGCATTTCTCATCCTACTGATACTTCAGCATAAAGCAGCAATCCAAGCAAACTGACCATATAAAATACCACTGTCAGGCTGCATAGTGTGATATTTGGAGGATGCACAGCAAATTCTGTGAAGCAAGTCTAAGATGTTCAGCTATGGAAAACTGATTAAAATTTGGCCCAGTGGGCTCAGCAGAACCTCATGAGGTTCAACAAATCCAAGCACAAGGTCATGCACCTGGGTCATGGCAACCCCCACTATCAACACAAGCTGGGGGATGCAAGGATATAGCATGGCCCTACAGAAAAGCACTAGGGGATCGTTGTGGATACTGGTAGATGGGAAGGTAGACATGAGCTAGCTATGTGTTCTTGCAGTCCAACTGTATCCCGGGTTGTATCAAAGAAAGTATGGCCAACACAGTGAAGGAGGTGATCCTGCCCTCTGCTCTGCACTGGTGAGGTCTTACCTGAAGCAACGTGTTCAGATGTGGAGTCCTCACTACGGACACGGACCTGTTGGAGCACATCCAGAGGGGGGCCACAAAAGTAATCCAAGGGATGGAACACCTCTCCTATGAGGACAGGCTGAGAGAGCTGGGGCTGTTCAGCCTGGAGAAGAGAATACTCTGGAGAGAACTCTGAGCAGCCCTTCAATATCTAAAGGGAGGCTGTAAGAAAGAACAGGACAGGGCCTGTTGTAATAGGACAATGGAAAATAGTTTCAAACTAAAAGGGGAGATTTATATTGGATATAAGAAAAAAATTATTTATGATAGAATTGATGAGGCAATGGAACAGGTAATGGGTGTCCAATCACCAGAGATGCTCAAGGCCAGGCTAGGCGGGGCTCTGAGCAACCCGATGTAGCTGTAGGTGATGCTGTTCATTGCAGGAGATGAACGAGGTGACATTTAAAGGTCCCTTCCAGCTCAGACGATTCTATGATTCAATGAATGTACGTCCTGCTGTATCCAAAATGACAGCAAACTGAATATGGCCAGGTATGCACAGTGACACTCAGGTTTCCCTTCCTCATCTCATACATCAGCACCCAGCCAGGCAGGCGTGCTTAATGACAGAAAACAGCACGTTTGTGCGAGCGGTGCGTGCCATTCCGATCTTGCAAAACTTAAGTCCCCGCTGCACAGCTCGGAGGCCGAAAGAAAAAAGCATCCAACGGTGGCGGAGGGGCATCCGAGACCAGGCTGGGTTTGCTCGGGCCTCCCCAGGCGCGGCCCACGCGATGCCCGCCGCTCGCCTGCCCCGTCCCACCCCCGGGAGCCGCGGCAGGAGGTGCGCGGGGCGGGCTGCGGCGCAGCGCATGGGCGGGCGAGCGAGCACATGGAGGCGGGTGCGCCGTCAGCCGCTCAGTAGCCGCGGACATGGAGCGGTCGGGCGAGGCGGCGCCCGGCGCGTGAGGCGGCAGGCAGGACGCTGACATCCCGCAGCGCAACGCGAGCAGGTAAGCGGGGCGGGCTGGGGCACCGGGCACTCGCCGCGGTGCAGCGGCTTTCTCCTCCCCCGCCGCTCGCGGACAGCTGCGCGGCGCGGCTCGGAGGGAACGCGGGGCTCCGCGCCCCTCAGCCTCTCCCCGGGGCAGCTCCCGGGGCGCTCCCGCTCCCGAGGAGGGCCGCGCGGGGGCGGGGACGCCCTCACGCCCGCGGCTCTGGGGCGCGGCCCGCCCTCGGCTCTCCGAAGCGCGGGCGGGCGGCCGTGCCCTGCCTCTCCTTCCGCCCGGCCCCGCCGGGCGGGCGCGGCCCTCCAACGGCCGACACCTGCGCGGGGGCGGGCGGGCGGGGCGGGACGGCGCCGGGCCCCGCCCCGCCGCACCTACGGGCGTCCGCCCCGCCCCGCGCCGCCCGCTCCGCCAATGGGCGCCCGCCGCCCGTCCCCCTCCCTACGCCGTTTGCGCAGGCAGCGCCGTTTCCGCAGCGGGCGGGAGAGCCGGCTCCCTCCTTCTTCCCTCCCTCCGCCCCCGCCCGAGTCCCGGGAGCCCGATGTGACCCGCCAGAGAAAATGGCGGCGGCGGCGGGGAATCGCACCTCGTCGTCGGGATTATCCTCGGGCGGCGGCGCGGAAGGGGCCGCCGCCGCCGCGTGCGGGAGCCCGAAGGGCAGCGCGGGCGAGGGGAGCGGCGCCGGGAGCGGCGGGCTGCTGCGGGAGGCGGGCGGCGGCGGCGGCCGGGAGCAGCGCTCCGACTGGCGGCGGAAGCAGCTGCGCAAAGTGCGGAGCGTGGAGCTGGACCGGCTGCCCGAGGCGCCCCTCTTCCTCGCAGCCGCCCCGGCCGCCGCCTCCTCGTCGTCGTCCTCCTCCCCTTCCCCGGAGCCCCCCGAGCCGCTGCTGCTGCACTACCTGCCCGGGCCGCGCTCCGGCCCCGCCAGCCCCGCCGCCTCCCCCGGTCGCGGCGCCGAGCTCCTGGAGCTGCCGGCGGGCAGCCCCGCGGCCGCTGACCCCGCAGCCGAGAGGAGGATGGAGCCGTCCCCCGCCGCGAGGTGAGCGCGGCGCCGCCGCGGGACCGGGGCAGCTGTCAGCGCGGGGCCGGGAGCGCCGCGGGACGCGGGGAGCGGGCGGGCCGGGGGGCTGCGGGCTCCTCGGGCTGGGGCTGTCCCTGCCGTGCTCCGGAGCGGCCGGGCGTCCCGCAGCTCCCCGTGCTGTCCCGGCTGCTCCGAGCTTTTGTTTGTTTTATTTTTGTTTTTTTTTTTTTTTTTAAAAAGTCTCTCGCGTAGTCGGTTCCGGTCTGCAGCATTCTGTAGAATGCGTTTCTCTCGTTCTCATTGAGAGGGGAGAGAATGGCTCCGGAGCGGAAATGTTGAATCTCGTGTTTCAGAGAGAAATCGAAGTTGTTCTGTGACGGTTACTGTAGGTAATACATCTGAGTGAGTTCATTCAGCATCCTTGAGCTTGTAGCTTTGGCTTGCTGTCTCTGTGCTTGGATTGGTAAATCCCAGTATATCGAGGTGTTGTAGAACTGCTCGTGTGCATGTTTCGCCAATTTGTGTGCAGACTTTCCAGGTGCAAGCAGTATGAGCGCTTCCGATTTACGTTGGGTAGGGTAGCACACGGAGCGTTGCAGTGTGCGGGCAGGAGGGCACAGCAGTGCGGTGTTGGTGTGCAGTGAGCTCCTGCGGGTATCTGGTGAGGTGCTGCACGTAGAAGCGCATCTGCACTTCTTCTTCAATGTTGCCTCGCTGTTTATTTGGCTAATTGAGCCTCCTGAGAGATCTGTTCCCTGTCTAAGAGGTGATGTGTACACTTCTTAGCTGTGCCCTATGCCAGTTAAACCTCACAGATGCTGTTTTAAACTTTAGCTTACCTTGGGTGTACTCTGCTGAGAGTTGGCTTCTAAAGCTGTGTCCTGTTTGTGTGAGTTCTGAGAAATCATAGCGAGTCTGGGGCAGTTTCTAGGGCAGTGCAGAAACACTTGAGATGGTCTGGTCCCAGCAGATAAGAAATCCTCTGTAGTTACAGAAGGATTAGTAGAAATCTGAAGTATTCAGGAAGGGAAGAAAATCATGTGGGTTATAAATTCTCTGACTCTTAGCACCATCATCTCTGTCAACCAGGGAAGTACAATATGCTGTGTCTTTTAATGCGACTGTAACTAGATCCGTGGCTTTCAAAGAAAATGAAGAATTAGTGTCAAAACACAGAACAGGCTGGTGTCTCATCATGATATTAAATGTTAGGCTGGGTATCAGGCTCGGGAAGTTCAGTGTACATCACGTAAGTGCTGAAGCACTGACTCTGTCCATGCTGGCCTGTCCCACAGCAGCAATGACAGAGCAGCTGTGGAATTTTTCCCTTTACATGGGCAGTACTGCTTACTTGTTAAGTACCTGCACTCACAAGTTACTGTTCTGAGTGTGTGTGTGGGTTAAAGCCCTTCTGCCCCCCACAAATTATCTCTCGTAAATGAACACAAAATGTTCACAAATAATGGAGAAAGTTACATGGCAACTGCTCATCTCCTTGCTGTATCACTACAATGAGCTCTAGGTAGCCTATCATAAAGTATCTGGCAGCTTTAATTGTAACTGTCCTTCAGAAATACTGTAGCACATCTCAGCAGTTCTGCATGTCCTGTTACTATTAGCAGATGTGGCCTAGTAGAGGAGTAAATTACCCGGCATCAAGAAACTTTTCTTCTGTCACTGTGAATGTAACTTTCTCTAGCAGGAGGGAGTTCTTTGTACTTGAGTGGCAGTGAACATGTTACATGTTAAATATTAAGTCGGTGCATGGAGTTGTTGCTGAGACATTCATTAACAGGCAGACTGAAGGACATAATATGCAGAGTTCTTCTGTTCTGTTCTGAAGCAGAGTAGTTATGCTTTCCCATAAGAGCAAGTACTCATTAAATGGTACTTGCTCCGAAGTCCCCCTGTCAATCTCCTTGGTATTACAGTCTCTCTCTAAACAGACCTTCTATTTATGCTGGAAGACACGCACAAGCTTTAGAATGAACCTGAAAAGTGATTTTGACTCTACTGTGAAGTTGTAAACATCACCCTTTTATTTACTCTTTCAAGCATTCTACTTGTCACAGGAGCAGATAACCTTTTTGCTAAAAGCTGTGACACTTTAAGCTGTCTTTTTATAACACTATAAGGGAGTTAGGCTACTGGGGAATGCAGCTTTGGCATAAAACACTTCAGACTTTTTATTCCTTCTCTGTACTGACTGTATATTGATTTGGTTTATATAAGAAGATCATAGCAGTGAGGTCAGCTCTATTATGATTTCTTGTTGTTCTAGTGTAACATCTGATTTGGGCAGAAATCCACAATGGTAATATGCACCTCTTTTCATTAACAACATTTTTTAAAATACTGAAACAGTTTAAGTGAAGTTTGTTCGTGTCTGAAATTGGTGTGGCTAACTTACTGCATTCCTGACCACAGAATGAGTTGTACTGCCATAGTTCCTTTTTAAAGAAACAAGCAGGAAGTGCTCTGGTTTGTCTGCTCTGTATACAGTGACGTATGACGTGCATGAAAATGCAACGTTCCAATTTCAAAATGAGTGTGCAAATACAGCAGATGTGTCAGTTCAGCTGCAGGAAAACCAGTGAAGGTATCTGTGCTGTGTTTTCTGCAATTCCTCTTTGGCGCCTGCTAGAGACAGTAAAAACACACTGCGAAACCTGAGTTCTGACTACGTACGTGTGAGTACTTGTTAAAGCTTGTTAGTTTGGAATCTGCTTGTAAATTCTAGCACCTTTGGTGACTTCTAAATGAGTGCATGATTACATTAACAACCTGGATTTGGGGCAGTGGAGTGGGGACAGTGAGAGCAAGTGCAGTTACAACACAGCTGAGGTCTGACTTGTCATTTCAGAGAAAGAAAATACTACAACATTCTTGTTTCACATTCTCGAAATATACCTACAGTAAATTATATATATAATATAATATAATATATATATAATAATTTGTAGCTTTTTTAACTTGACTATTTTCAACTAAGGTAAAATAAAATTGTGTGTTTAACCGCAGTTTGTGATGCTAGGTATTTTTCACTGTTTGCTTAAGTAAGCCAGCACGTTCTCTGCTTCCGATTTAAGCTGAATCATACAGTGAGAGGAATTTCACCTCCTATCTCTTCAGCTCTGTGCTTGACAGTATTTTGGGAAGAGGGTCACCCTCACCCTGATTTTTATCACTCTTAGTTATTGCAAGTGGTGGGGTTCTGCTTAAATGGCTTGATCTGCTATGGCAGTTTCTTTGTTCTTATGCAAAGTAAATAGATTGTAACTAACTAATCTGGAGCTTTCTGTCTGGTTGGATTTAGTGATGCTGGAGGTTCAGTCTTTGCTGTCACTGGCAGAGTCCAGGTACTGTTACTGAGATACCCGAGTGTAGATGTATGCACCTCACCTGCAGTTTCAGCACCCCAATGATCCCATTTTTTTTTTTTTTTTTGCAGATGGAGATCTGAGTGTTTTGTTTTGTTTGAGGTCAGAGTGAAGGTGGTGATGCAGCTGTGCCAGAGCATATCCTGGAGCGTGGAGGTGGAAGTGAGCAGCTGGGGTGGGGTGGTGCTGGGAAGGCTGCTGTTAGCTTTTTCTGCCTTCCAGTATCTGTGAAATTTGGCTCCAGTTTGTTTAAAATAGAAATTATACATTGCCACGTAATTGCCCTTCAAACAAGCTTTCAAAGCTTGTACTTAGCAGTGATGATAAGAGAATGGATCTGCTATGAGCTCTGGAGTTCCTAATGCTAATATTGGTGTTCTCAGAGAGCTCTTTTGAAAACCCAAGGGTCATCTTATTTTACTTTGTTGGCTCTGTTCTCACTTAAAACTCTGAAATTACAGCTCATTCTTCTGCTTGAGGCATAGTGGACAGAAACCCTTTAAGGAGGGCTTCATTACTTGTCTCTGGGTGACTGGGAAAAGGCTGTTAAATGGTACATTGTTTTCTGTTGCTTCCGTCCCTTTTCATCTTTAACTTAGCCTCTGCATATTGCCTCAAATGCTTCCTAGTTCCTGTCTGATCAGAACTTGAAAACCCTGCTCTGTGGTGAATCTCATTGTTGAGTTTTTTCCCTGTAAGATAAGCTTGAGGGTTCTGTGGGGTTTGGGGTACTTAGTGTTTCATTTGTTTGGTTTTTGAAAGATCTGTTGTGTTAGATCTTGACTGAAAAATGTCCTAAAGCCTACCCGGTATCTGTAATGCTTAAGAATCATCTTTAAATTGGTATTTTTTTTACCTTTTGTCTGGGGTCTGAAAGAACTTTTGAATTGTTTTAATAAGAGGTATTATTTTTTGCAGAAACATTTTCTCATTTTTCAGTGCTGCTTAGCATCTGACAATGATGGACTTCAAGGTGTTTGCAAAATGTCTTTTCCTCCTTTTTCTATGAACTTAAAGTGTCATTGAGCATTCCCACTTCTTTGCTATGAGGTGAAATAGGAATAGCAGTATGAGTATGAGGTGAAACTGTAATTACCACGTTTCGTACTATCTCAGAATATCTTTTGTGAAGTGTGAACTGTTTGTATAATTCATGGATATTTCTCATCTGTTTTGTCCTAATATTCTAGATGGTAATGGAATGGCCACTGTTGCACCAGGGGACTTCAGTTCTTTCCTAGTGTGTCACCCATGTTTTGTACAGCCTTTATTACTGACATTCTCTTGTTGATGCCTGACCCACCTGCCTCTTAACATACTGGGGTCATTGCGGAAGATGGCACTGGAGCACTGGAGAGGTGCATTGTCTCCTAGACTGGACTGACATCAGACCAAATCTGATGTCTTGTTTTCTGAGCTCTTTTCATCCTTTTTTGAACATCCTGTCATCTTTCTTTTGAGCAAACTGAACTGATCCTTTGCTCAGCTGTCAGCAGTGATGATGAGGGCCCTTTGTGAGCTGTTAGTTAAAGCTCAAAGGAATGCAACTAATATTCCTCATTTTAACCACAAATATGCATTGCATCTCACTAGTCATTTCTGTCAAATACACTATTACACCCTGAGGACTTTTTTGAATATCCTATATGACCATCCTGCTTGCATCTGCAAAATTGTTCCTCTTGGATACTGAAAGGAATTGGAAGTACTGAAGGAAATAAATAAAAATTGTGAAAATACCATTTTGAGAAATGAATTTGTTGGGTTTTAAAACAAATTATTAGTGTTACCTCCCATTCTGCTACAGTAAATGCATACAGAATTTTGTTTTCATAGTTCTTTAAACATGAAACTTCATAAGCTACTGAATAATACAGTCTCCCCATTACCTTCAGGTAACATTTGTCTGAATCTGAAGAGTCTTATAAAATGCAAATATCTGCAGTGTGTGATGATTCGTGCCGTGACCTCCCATTTGTGGTTCATATAGAGTTTACTGACCTTGTCAGATTAATACGCTGTTGCAGGCAAGTGTCTTGGCCATGACAATAAACAAACAATATTCTAATTGCTTTGAATCATGACAGAGTAATTTCTGTTCACTAAATGTGTACTTCGAAAACTCATTTGTAGTCAGGGACAATTCTATCAATGTATTACACTATTCTTTTGTAATTTCTTCTTGTTTTTAGACTGCTGAGTTGTAGAGTCTGATACTAGTATTCAATTTTTTCTCTTGTTGCAAGTTAAGTTTGCCACCAGATATGTAATCAGAATTGTAAATGTTCCTGTAAAATACATTTGAAATGTTTTTTCACTAAAGTAAATATCGATACAGATGCCTAGCCCATGACTAAGGATTTGTTTGCTTGATCTGTGAAAATACTGCAGTTGTGATTAGCATGGAAATTCACTGACATAGTGTTAATGTGTTCTTAAAAATTTGGGAAGTATACCTGCCGTCTTAAAGATCTGTAGTTCTTGCTAATTATGCAAATTTATTGATAGAAATAAAATGTGTGGTGGTTCCTATGGTTGTGTGAGGTTCTTTCTGAGGAAGTTCGAACCTGAGATGGAAATGCGAACAACTGGCTTTTAAACAGCAGGGCTAGATGAAGTTTCTCTTAGAACTACAATATGAATATGCATAAGTTAATTTTAAAAAATCTCTATCAATAACATCTTGTAGTTCTGGAAAACAAGCCTTTCTGTACAGAGCAGGCATGACTTTGTTGTGGTATATTTAGCTGTAAGCTGTGCGTTCATTTGCAGTGAATGGTTCAATGCACACTGCGCTCTGTGGGCACACCAGGTGCCCCGGCATGTAGGGAGCGCAGGGCTTCCAACCAAAGTGTGGAAACACGTTCTTCCATCCTGCAGAGCTGCCTGCCCTGCAGCTGTGCCTGCTGGAACATGCAGAGCAAGCTTTCTCCTCATCTCAAGGATCTCCCTCTCCACTTCTCCCACTTCATGTGGCCTTGTTCACACCACCAGGCCTCTTCCTAAAATTAACTGGGATCCCCTGTGGTCCCCTGACAAAAACTTGTTCGGAGCTAGAACTGTGTGTTTCCTGTTCCTGAAGAACAAGGGTATGGTGGGAAGAAGTCTTGAAGCCACACAGATTGTTCTCTGTTTTTGTTTTAAGTCAGTGTTACAGGAAGAAGGAGGGGAAGGAGCTCTCTCCCTGCCTTGTGTATGAAAGCACAAGATGAATCTCGTTAAGCCACGCAGATCTCTGGCAGGCAGCAGTGCAGATTATCTGCGGGGTTGTCATTGTAGGAATGTGTTGTGCCAAACTGATACAGAAAAGATGGGATGATTGATGGTTTTCAATTCTCTCACTGTGAAATTTGATATGCAGACTGACACTGAAACTGCCTTTTTTTTTTTTGAGGAAAGCAGACACTCAGTCCCTATCAGTGAATTGAATAGTAAAACATTTCAGATTAAACTAAGAAGCCTCCCATCTGTGCAAAGTTGGAAAGTGTCTTCATATAGGAATGTGTTAAGTATTGTAAACAGACATTCACTGACATCCTCAGCTTGCTGAGGAGGGAGAAATGTTAAGGACTGGTGAAGTGTGTTTAATTCAGGTGACACAGGGAGATTCAGAATTGGTGCTGTGCCTGGTCATTTGGCTTCTGCTGGAGGTTGATGTGCCTTTCTGTGAGGGAACAGCGGGTCAGATGGGAGAGGATCAGCAGGTATTAAGGAAGCTCTCCTCTTCTAACTCTACTTTGAAATTCCGTTGTCTGGTTGCCGTTTCAGATGCCAGAGGACTTCACTGAAAAATGTTACTGCTCGTTTCAGCTTTACTGTTTGTAGTGAAAGATTTGATTACTAGTAGAAGATGAAAGCTTTTTCCTTGCACAGGTATTTCAAGGGCAGATATATCCAAGTGATTGTCTTAGAACTGGGAGCGTGGCAGAAGGATTCAGAGGGAGCAGAGAAGTAATAAACAGGAGATCCATACAATTTCATGCCAAGCTTTTTTTTCTGTCCAAATGAGAAGTAAGTCAGGGTTTGCTGACTGCAGTCCTAAGCTATCCTTCAAATCCTCTTTCACCACCTCAGTGGGAGATAGACTTCCCTTTCTGAAAGGAAACAGAAATGTGAAAGCTTTCAGCTGAAAGCTGCACAATGAGATGTCCATGAGAGAGGTCTTGTTCACGTGCTTGCAGTCTGTACTCTTGTACTGATGCTAGTAACTTTCCCTGCCTTTTATTCTGTATGTAATGCAGTTTTACTAAGAACATCACGGGCCTCTAAGAATGCTGGTTTTCTTCAAAAGGGCACTGTCTTTACACAGATCTGTTCTATTTTCTCAAATGAAATGAAACTAATTACAGTGTTTGATATTCATCTTTGTAAACTCATTTGGGGTATAATTACACTCGGCCTTGAAATTAACAAATATAATTGGTAATTTACATTGCAAAATTCTGAAGTATAGATTAGCTCTGTACACTATGCCTGCATATTATAAGAATAGCAGGAATGCTGAATCTTCACTCATCTCTTCTATGCATGTGGTTTAGTTCCTGCATGTTCAGGTACAATGGTAAACCATCTTGTCCCAGCAAATATGCTGAAGCGTATCATTCCCCTTAGTATCTCAGCAGAAAATTAGTATGCTGTGCTGTTTGCTTGTTCTGACTTGTGTGTGTGTGACGGTATTTTAGTTCTGCTACCAGTGAAGGTGCTCAGTGAAGCCAAGTGGGGAAAAACAATGGCTTTAGTATTTTGAAATCAGCTATGTATGAATTGCATTGATATATTTTAAAAGTTACTGCAAATGGAATAAATATCCAGTGCCAGGGCAGGCCACTTGCAGACCCTGGGAATCAAGACTGCTGAGAAGAGCACAGTCAGAGATTTTAGGCTTTTGGCTTCCTTTCAGCCCACAAAGTAGACTGCTGAGAAGCTAGAAAGGGTAACCAGCAGGAAATCTGCCAGCCTCTGCCATGTCAACTAAGTTCCTATGGAACTTCATCAAATTGGATATCTGACTTTTTTGTTACTTGATAAATATCTTTTTAAAAAGGAAGTGTTTCTTTCCAGACTGCAACTTAGCTGTACTCATAAGTATTTTCATTGTCTTTAGCAATACTCACAAATGTAGGAATACATTAAGAGCTAAATAACTGTATGTGGCTGGGACTCAAAGGAAAACACAGGTTTTTATCTTATGATTGACCCTCTAATTAAACCCTGATGTAGCTATGGTGCCCTAGAGGCCCATGTGGGATTCACTGTAACTAAGTGTCCTTGTCTTGTGTACCTAACTGGTTTGTCATACTGGTGCACTAGGCAGGGGTAAAGCAGACTTTGTCACAAAGTAGGTGATGATTCTTTAATCTGGGTTTCACTCAAAGCTTGAAACCCAACTCAGGGAAAGCAGGACCCAGGTTATCACCGTGTCCACCTTGGAATTGCATTAGATGCTTGCAGCGCTCTAAGTGAAACGTCTCTGCTTATCAGCGCCATCAAGCTACGGTCAGCAGGGCTCTGCTGGCACGAAGCCTGTTGTGTTTGCAGTAACCGCTGTTCATGTTGTGCCCCCCAGCTGCATAAAAGCTTTGTATGGGGTTTATAAGACTTATCAGAAGTGCCTTTTTATGGCTTATCAGAGGTGACGGACCTTTGATGCTTCAGGTGTCTTTCAGAAGTTTCTTGGTGGCTGCTATCTGAAGGTAAGAACTTGATAGCATGGTGGTAAGAACTTTGCGTGCTCTCTCTGTGATTCAGACAAGAATAGCTCCAAAGAGCAGAGAAGCAAAGGCTTAAGTACAGAAGCGTGCCTGAAAGAAAATGAAAGGAAGTGGAGGAGGTAACAGTTAATGGGATACTAACATGAAGAAAAAAAGAGACTGAAAAAGGAGGCACTGTTAACTGAAAGCCAGGGAATAAAGGAGTGAATAAGAAAGCTGGAAAACAGCAAAGTAGCGAGTTAGAGAGAAGTGGCAGTAGGAGAGTCAGTTATCCTGAGAGGAACTGAAAGTGGAGGAAAGTAGCTAGAGGATATGGAGTGAAGACTTAAAGAGTGAGAACACAACTCTGCAGAGTCTGAGAGGAAATGGAAGTACACACAGAGCCTTGTGCGTGTATGGCTGGGGAGCTGGGAGAGTTTTCAAAGGGTGCCTGAAATAAGAAAATCTGAGAGGAAAGCACCTATAGAGCTTGAAGGAAGGAAGGATGTAAGATGTTACTGCAGCATGTGTTACAAAAGCAAGCCCTCCTCGTCTAGCAGAGTCTCTGTGAGTAATTGAGTATTTAAGTTTGGGAGTATTAAGCACTTTTAGATGGCTTCTGTCTAGCTTGTGTTAGTAGTGTTTGGGTACATAGTGATTTGAGAACAATCTAAAAATTGTGTATTTCTATCGCAGTTAAAACCTGGACTCAAAAGATACAACGGTTGTCAAAGGAAGAATATGATTTTATTATTTTTTTTTTAGTTTGATATGCCTACAGCTTCTTTAACTAGTAGTAGCTATACTTTAGGAGTCATAGGATTTTTGAGAAAACACTGCTTGTTTTGGCTTATTGGGAAATTGCTCTATTCCAGTTCATGATTGTAAGGGAAAGACCACTGAACGCATTAATGTTTCCCTGTTTACTGTTTTTACAAAACATACATTGAGTTTCTCTGATCTTAAAGCTGAAATGCCTACATGTCTCTTTGATTTGCACAACTGCTAAATGGGCTTGGAACAAAGCCAAAAATAGATGGGAGCCCAATTTAAGCAAGCGCTGCATGTTCAGGTCAGAAAAACTGTTGAGACAGAAGAGCTGTGCTGGTTCTACTAGTGGGACCAGCTGAACTTTGTCTCCCCTCTGTGGGGAGAACACATCTCATGTTACAGGAGGCGGTACCTTCAACAGGGCACGCCTTTTTAATTTCTGTTTAATCTTTGGGACAGAAGATACCATTTCAAAACATTTTCGTGTAGCCACTGCGATGACAAACTTATGATTTGATGGAGGCACAAAGCAGGCCTACGGATCTTGCCCTGAAGAAATGCTTAAAACTAGATTTTCTTGTTTGAAGCCACAACTGTCTAGCAGGTAAGCATAAATGTAGTTGAATTTCTCATTGCAGTTATGATTGTTAGCCAATTTAGATGGTTATTCTGCTGTTTCCCAGGAATAGTATGTCTGTCCGATCTTTTTGTTCTTTACAGACAGTTTTAGAATGTGGTTCTAGGCACTGGGCAGCCCGGTTTAATAGTTGGTGATCTGCATAGCAGGATGATTGAAACTAGATGATCTTTGAGGTCCTTTTCAACCCAGGCCAGTCTGTGATTCTATGAAAACTTGTTCTTTTTTTCTTGTAAGCTCACTTTGGAGAGCCAACATCTCAGTTCTGCTCCTGAATGTTCACTGTCTGCTTTGTTGCATTTCTGAGCCTTATTGTGATGAGGTTGGCATTTTGATACCTAAGAGGAAGTAGAAAATGATACAATCTGCTGTTACTCCCTTTCCATGTTCAAGTAAATGGCATGTTTTTATAACTGGGAGGGGAGAAAGCTGGC